AACCTACCTTTTTAAGCCACTTTATGGAGGTATAAATACATATTTAATGTATGCAAGGTGATGAGTTTGAAGATAAGCATATACCTGTGAAATCAGCTCTACAATCTATGCCAAAAACATATCCAGCACCTCCAAATTTCTTTCCTCCCACCCATCTTTTTCTCCCAGTGATAAGAACACTCAACATAAAAGCTACCCTCCTAGAAGCCTTAGACAGGTACAGTACCGTATTTTCAACTATAGGCACTATACAACATAATAGATCTCTAAGACTTATTCCTCTTGTATCATCAAAACTGGATTCTCTTTACTAATACCTCCCCACAGCCCCTCCCTGGATGAACTTGAGGACATTAAGCTAAGTGAAGTCAGTCAGACATGAAAGGAGAAACGATACAGGATACCACTTCTGCAAAGAACCTAAAATAGTCAAAGGATAGAATGGTGGTTGCCCTTGTCCCATTGACTGACCTTCAGTCAAGGACAGAAAGGAAAACCAAGCTTCCAGCAGTCATTTTGCCAGGAACTCCATGGAGAGGCTTGGATTCCACGCCCTTGTTCAATCGCCCACTCCAGTCCTCCTCCATGGTCCTCCTGAGGCTAATAACAGAGGATGTCTCTGTTACAGCTGGACACACGTAGACAGGCAAATAACCAAGCTTGCCCAACCAGCTGTGGATCCTCGCACTGGCACTTAGAGTCCTGGTCCCTAACCTCTCAAGAGCTGACTCCTAGGATGCAGGCATTTTCAAATCACTAGAGGAGAGTTTTCAAGTTGATACACAGAATATCCTAGAAAGACCCAATCAGTATTTTTATTATTTTTAGACTCTGCAATCCCTTTAACTATCCCTATAATAATGGCTTAATCATTTTTAAAATTTTTGCATTACAAAAAAAGCTATTAGGTATTCTTTGTTTAGTTGTGGACAATTTACATACCACACCTTAAGTTCATTTTAAATTAACAGTATCCATTACAATTAAAGAGCACTTTTGATATCTTCCCATTACATATGGTGCATGTAATTTAATTTATTTAAATTAATTAAATATTAAAGAACATATGATTTATAACATAATAAATCATAAGGATGTGTCTTGTTTGGTTAGGGAACTAAGAAGCATTCAAAATGTATACCAAAGTTGAAATAGGGGTTATTGCACTGAGAGCCTGCTCTTAATATTTGATAATAAAAATTTTTGAGTCATGGTTATCAAAATTATTTATTTTATAATGCTTACATATGTTTCCAAATGAAATAAAAGAAGGTTTCAGGGTGTAATTTACAAACATTTCCACATTACTACACTGCTGGGCTTGGATGCTTGGTTCTTTGAAAAGAATGGTCAAATGAGCTATAATATTACCATAGTGTTCCTTTGCATCTTGATACTTTTAAGTACTACAGACAACTCAGTGGTGAGGAAATTCTAACTGAATGAATGTAATGTGTAAATTTGGTGAGAAAAAGTCACAAACAGGTTTGCAGAATAAGTATGCTTTCTGGCTTTGAACCATTGATTGAATGCAGATCTGCATTAAATGATATGTTCTAGATGGATCTCATCCAACTCTCCAGTCCCATCTCTGTTTTTGATACACCATGTCCCACTGTTAAAAGTTGGCTTTTACAAATGTTCCTTCCGATATGTGAATGCTAACACACAATAAGTGTGGGGGGGGGACAGAAGTTCATTGAATTAGGGGAATTAAGGGAAGAGAGGGAGGACAGGAATAGGAAAGACAATAGAAAAAATAGGACATAACTTTCCTACGTTCGTATATGAATACACGACCAGTGTAACTCCACATCATGTACAACCACAGAATGGGAGGTCAGAATCCATGTATGCATAATATGTCAAAACGCATTCTACGGTATTTTTTTCAATGTTGCTTTTATGGTTTGCCTCAACAAAGTCCCTTGAGCTCTGGTTTATACTGGGTTTGGTATATAGAGATCAAAGGTACGTTTATTCCCCTCAAGCTGTCTGAGTCTTGTGACTAAAGGCCATAGCTCCTGGAAGAACCCTGGCCATCTCCTGCCTCTTCAGACTAGGCTTGACCATGGCCCCTCCGTTTCTAATCTCAGTGTTCGTCACTATCCTAGGGGTTCCCCCCTACTCTGCACACACATCATAAATACTCTTTTTATTAAACTCTCATCAAGCTACATAATTTAAGTGTGAGTGTTTCATTCTTTTTCTGACTTAACTCTGGCTCTTCCATAAGACAGGGCTATGAATGATGACAATGTAAAACCAGGGAATGGCCTTAAACTTGGCAGCCTGAGATGTTCAGTTAATGTTAAAGGAACCAAGCAGCTGAATCATGAGCTCTCTCATGTGATCACATTAAATGCCACACACACACACACACACACACACACACATACACAATCAGGCAAAAACACATTCAGAGCTCAAGAGAAAATCACTCCAAATATTTATTATTCAATCAAGAAGTAGAAATTGAAAGCGCATTATTAATACACCCTAAAAACCCACCAAAGCTTCAAAAACACCAATGGGAGAAAAGATTTGCTAAGTGAAATGGCTATTTTTTAAACCCATCCAAAGAAAGACATTGTGGAATAATTGGGGTGAGACTTGGGTGAGATTTTGAAGCCTGTGGGTATGTAAGAATGTACAACTCTACTGATAAAAATGACACCCAGCACCCAAGTTTGAAATGGCTTTTCAATCACTTAATCTGCAAATGGAAATAGAACAGTTAGCTTTCCCCCAGTCCAGGGCAGGATCTAGGATGCAAAGGAGAGTTATCATCCAGCAAGGATATGATAGGTCTAAGACCATCCCATCCTATCATTGCTTGAATCTAAGAATTCATGAGCAGCTGGACTGTAAGGGTAAACCTAATAGCGCCACATTCTAGGAACATTGCATGAAGAGCTGGACCTTCCCCACTGATAACTGTGGTGTGCAGAAGCTGCAGGCACTCTGGGAGGATTGCTAGAGAACATGCATAGGAGAGGGGATGGTCATAGCCATACAGCATTCGGGGAGTCCAGGGCTTCCAATCCACCAACCGTGCCTGCGTGAGTTGAGGCCACACAAACGGGAGTACGATCTGACACCAGGCAATGCTTATCCTCAAATATATTATGTTTATTGATTTTTTAAATAAAATTCCTCCAATTCCATTATAATTTGAAGTGTTGAAGTGGTGTCAGGTATAAGGCTGCCCAGTGAAAGATTCTTTTCCAAAGAGAAAAACTTACTCATCCAGATTGTCTGTGATTGTCATCCACATGTCTGATTCCAAAATGGTTGTGCCTGCCTCTCTTTTCTCTACACCTTCTCTCTCTCTCTCTCTCTCTCTCTCTCNTCTCTCTCTCCCTCTCCCTCTCACCCCCCCGCACACACACACACAGAGTTACAGTTTACAATTCACAAAGTAAGAGAAAATCCAAAAGCCCCAAGGTAGCACCATGTAGGAAGAGGTAGAGTCACCCAAAGGAGACTAGAAGACTGACCTCCTACTTCCCAGTCATGTAAAATGACCATCAAAATCTTTCCACTTCCCCTTCCTCCTCACTTTTTTTTTAAACTCAGTCTGCTTTCAGACTAAGCCAAACTCTTTACAGGCTAAAAGGCAACCAATTGAGAGCCACTGGGTGGAACCTGAGAAGATATTACTAGTATAAAGGAGGTCCATGCCCTGAGAACTTGGTTACCARTTGCTGCATCATATTTTCTTCCCAGGTATGAGACACAACAGCAAAATCAATAAACTATTTCCAAGTTTCCTTCACCCTCCACAATCCTACTCCAGGCAATGTTTGACTGGAAGGAGTCACATAAATGAATTAATTAAGTAATAATTAACTGATAAACAATACATTCTCTCTAACTATCTTGAACTCTTGCCAAACCCAAATTTCCCATTACCAATGTCCCATTACCAATATCAGTTTATTACTGATGTCATTGAAAACATTATTTACTGTGTGACTGACCTCTGTTTAATCTTCCCAGAGGTTCCTGAAATCTCCTAAAGAAGAACTTTTTACACTGGAAAAAATTCATACCCAAATCAGTTCAGGTCAATAACATTTGGAGAAAAGCTAACAGTTCTATTTCCATTTACAGATTAAGTGATTGAAAAGCCACTTCAAACTTTTGTGCTAGATCAATAATATTTGGAATGTGAGTTTAACAGCACACAGTCATATGCCCCCACCCTGTTCCACCTCTCTTTTCCAAGTGGCACTGCATCAGAGGAGCCTGTAACCAGCCAGAGTGAAAGAGGGAAAAGACATACAACCACCACCAAGAGGGGCATCTCTTCCCAGAAACTGATAAGAAGAGCTGTGTATTTCTAGCTTCTGACCATGCTGCCATGCATGGCTCTGCTCAGCACCTTGTATCACAGTACAGATGCTTACTCTTGGACATGGGCAAAAGTAGCATTGCTCAACCTTCCATTAGTTTGCTGTTACTGACCAAATAAGTATGATAGCCAGTTTGCCTTGTAGGGAAGTTTTAACAAAATAGGAAAACTTGCTTTCAAAAATCAACCATCAGTCAGACACAGTGATGCATGCCTACAACTGCAGGAGGTTGAGGCAGGAGGATCACAAGTTCAAGGGCAATCTGGTAACTTAGCAAAACTCTGTCTCAAAATAAAAAATAAAAGGGGCTGAGAATTTAGCTCCAYGGTAGAATGCCCATGGGTTCAATCCCTGACACCAAAACCAAAACATAACAAAAAATCAACAATCAGAGGAATTCTCTGCAAGGATGCATCCACCTTTCTTAAAAAGTGCTAATTCCTTTTATTAAGACCACTGCCCTCTTGCAGTGAGCTATACAGCAACTGAAACAGCTCTTCAGAACAGTGGACCTGGAAAAATAGGACCTTTCAGGAAACTGATGCACTGAACATTGGATTTGGAGACAGGACTTGTCAACATGGGTGCTTGCAAAAGCCTGAGGAGTCTCCTGTGATGGCTGTGGGTGGCTGGGCCTCTTACCTTACCACACTGCTTACATTTCCCCTCCTGCCGACGCCTGTGCACCCAGTGATGACGCACAAAATTCTGTGGGGGAAACAAAGTTAAATGAATATGTGTTAATTTGCAAACCTCAATATTCATTTTTTTTAATGTTTAGAGACTACAGGATTATAGAAACCATAACATAAGCCCCTAGAAGCACAAAATCAAATGTGTAGATACAACTTGTTTAGCAATAAATATGAATCYACTCAAAAAAAATGAAGCTAATTCTCTATGCCAGTGATCTTTCACAATGGGAGATGGCGTTTATCCTGCCCTGTCTCCCTGTCTTCCCGGCGGCAAGCAGCCATGCCAGATTACTGTCACTCCACCTTACTAGTGAAACATGGTGCAGATTTGTGAACAGGAAACTGGGCTGGGAGATAACTCAGACAGGTAAAGGAAATACCCAAATAGAAGTGAAAAGGTGAAGGAGAAAAGCTGACACATYGACAATTGAACATGACAAATGTGTTGAATGCTTGCTACACGGCAGGCTCCCTGGCTGCTCTCCTGCTGCCCTCAGCGACCCCTGCCACAACCCTCAATGCTGGAGGCCAGTTCTACTTCCACAGGGCCCTCTCCTCAACATTCTACCTAGAAGGAACTTAAAGAAATCAAGTTATCAGAAAGCAATAGATCCCCTGATTTGGGGCATTGATTTGAGAATCTAGAAGAAAACTGATGAATGATGAGAATACCTCCAACAAGCACTAGTTTTATTAATTAAAAAAAAAAACACCACCTCTATTCTCTTAACAATGTAAAATCAATTTAAAATAAAACTGAATAAAGGCTCTGGAGGTATAATGGTCTTTTAACTGTAAACTGTAAAGCAACATACTGATCCTACAAATTAGTCTAATTTTCATCTTGTTTTTCACTCTGCTCCCACTATTAAAACAAAGATACAATTCAATATTGCTCTCAGAAAGCAGCTAATCATAATAGCTAACACTTACTGAGTGCTATGTTCCATGAACTTTTAAAAATATTTTGTATGTAATAATGCTTTTAGTCTTCATGAGAATTTTAATAAATAGAAGTGTTGTTCCGTAGAAGTGTAACAATCAACCTCTAGGAGTTGTTAAAGTATTAAAATGTTTCTAGATTAGCTAGTAAATTGCGATTTAGCACCTCTACCATTTCGATAGCTCCTCCCCTACCACCATAACAACCCCTAATACACCCTCTCAATACTGAAGACCATTTTTACATCGTCTTAATTGAACAATTAGGATCTAAATTTCTGACATATTGTGACTCCAAGATCCTGTTCCAAATGAGTTATTTTGTGAAAACAAATCCTGCTGCCTGGGCAATGCCACAAATTTTYTCAAAACCTTCAGAAGACTGGGCTGGGTCCATCTAGTATGGGTTGTCCATGGAAGGTTAAATATCCACATGGGCGATTTGGGGTACCATGTCTGGGTGTAGCTTTCAAGATGGTGGCAACAACTCCAGAAATGTGCCCAGTTATCAATATTCATTCCAACAATTCAGAGGAATAATTCTATTGGTGGAAGATGAAGGTCCTGGATCCTCCACCTCCTACTTTGCAGGTAAGGCTACTACTGAGTGATAAGAATTCTATCCCCCCCCCCAAAAAAAGAATTCTATCCCAGTGCCTACTTAAGGATAGGATGGGAAGGACTGAAGTCAACTGCCAACTGCAGTATTTATTCCCAATAACATTATTGTAGGGCAACTCATCAGAGGGCTCAACTTTGGTCAGAATTATCCTCCTCACTTTACAGATGAAGAAGCCAAAGCACAGAGAGGTCACAAAGAATTTAAGAGTCAAAGCAAGGACTAGAACTCCAACAGGCTGTCAGTAGAGTCTACGCTCCTTCCATGGCATCTCCATGCCTCCTCAACTCTGAAAGATTAGGTTCAAGCTACTTCAGCATGACACACCAATCAATGACTTCAATGACAGTCAGGAGTGGAAATATTGAACAAATAAAAATGTCAGACACTAATCAAAAAGGATTGAAAAAAATTTAATACAATTGCTGTTATTTTAGCAGAAACTGAGGGAGACTGAACAATATCATTGATGTTAAGAGAAATTCTGCACTTATCGAGATTATAAATCACCTAGTGACTATCAATTTAAGAAGGGAAATGTTGGAAGAATTGGGTGCAATTAACCTATGAGAAATCATGGCTGACTCATGGGATCCTTGAGCTAGTAACAGCTCCACTCAAGAGATTAAACCTACAATTTCCACAGATCAACAGTTATTTAGAAATTAGATGACTTAATCATTTGTACTACAACATCTTCTTTTTTAAAAAATTTATTCATTTATTTCTGATTTGTTATACATGACTGCAGAATGCATGTCAGTTCATAGTACACAAATGGAGCACAATTTTTCATTTCTCTAGTTTACACAAAGTAGAATCACACCATTTGTGTCTTCATACATGTACCTAGGGTAATGATGTCCATCTTATTCTACCACCTGTGCTACCTCCATATCCCCTCCCTTCCCCTCCCTCCCCTTTGCCCTACCCAAAGTTCCTTCATTCCTCCCATGCTCCCTCCCCACCCCCATCCTCATTATGGATCAGCATCCACTTATCAGAGAAAACATTTGGCCTTTGGTTTTTTTGGGATTGGCTTACTTCACTTAGCATGATATTCTCCAACTCCATGCATTTACCTGCAAATGCCATGATTTYATTCTCTTTTAATGCTGAATAATATTCCATTGTGTACACGAACCACAGTTTCTTTATCCATTCATCTATTGAAGGATATCTAGGTTGGTTCCATAATTTAGCTATTGTGAATTATAGTTCTGCTATAAATATTGATGTGGCTGAGTCACTACAGTATGCYGTTTTTAAGTCCTTTGGGTATAAACCAAGGAGTGGGATAGCTGGGTCAAATTGTGCTTCCATTCCAAGTTTTCTAAGAAATCCCCATATTGATTTCTAGATTGGTTGCACCAATTTGGCAAAAAAGAGTTCTAATACCATGTAGTTTAGTTCATTTAGGGAATAGGAGAAAACACCTTAAATTTTTATTTAAAAACTAATGTAGGGGCTGGGGATGTGGCTCAAGTGGTAGGGCGCTCACCTGGCATGGGGCACTGGGTTCAATCCTCAGCACCACATAAAAATAAAATAAAGTTGTTGTGCCCACCAAAAACTAAAAGATAAATATTAAAAATCTCTTTCTCTTAAAAAAACTAATGCATATGATTCTACCAGTCATTAAACATCTTGAGTATTATCCTTCCAAGAAAATAAGTGGGAGACTGAGGTCATGAACGCACAGAGAAAGTAACTTATCCATTACCTTTACTGTAGAAGAAACTTAAAAACTAAGCTCTATGATTTGAGATGTCAAGCAGTTGTTATTCAGAGTTCTTCTTCTTCCTAATATAAATTGATCCTATTGCTGCTTTAACATAGTTTGAACAAAGTATATCCAATAARTGTATGTTGAGCTGAATTGAATTCTCAACCTTACTTCTTTGACAATTAAGTCATGTGGTTATCATTTAGGGGAGGAAGAATCATCAGTTGCCTTCATCAGTGAGATAAAGAAAATCTTTATTTCCCAAGCACCTTAATTCTTCACACAATTTTCTTTTGACAATTATTCATACCTCCCAAATTGTTGGACTAAAATTAGATTTTTCTATGTTCTCTTGACCATTACTCATATCTCTTAAATTGTTGAACCGATATTAGATTTGCCTCCAAATGTGAATGTTGATGAATAGTTGTTAAGACAGAACAGCAAAGCTTCTAACACATCACTCATCAATAATTTCTGAATTATTCATATACTTCAAGTAAGTATAAGTAAATAAGGGGAAAGCCATTACTTATAGGTGTTAAAATATCAATGATCTATTATTTCAAGACTTATCTGCAGCTGGGCAAGGTGGCACAAACCTGTAATCTTAGCAAGTTGGGAGGCTGAGGCAGGAGGATCATGAGTTTGAGGCAAGCTGGGGATGTAGCTCAGGTGTAAAGCACCCCTGGGTTCAACCCTCAGTACCAAAAGAAATAAAATAAAATAAAAAATACCCAGTGTTGTTAGCTGAGACATATAWCACAATTGCACAGTTATTTTCAAACAGCCAATGCAATTCAAAATATTATTCATAGAATGCTTGAAAGGATCTTAGAAATCACAACCCAATCCATATGGCTTATGACTAAGAAAACTGAGTTCCAAAAAGATTCAACTTGGAGAAAGCAATCCAACAAATATTCATTAGAAAACAGCTGCGCGCCAGGCACTATACACTGCCAGGACACGGTGACTAACAATCCCCACACTCAAGACTGACCACCTATTAGAAAAGAAGCAGAGTTGAACTGAACCCAGATCAACTAATGCTAAAGTGAATGTTCTTTCATTTCCATTGAGTACTCTACTGAAAGTCTCTTAAGAATCACAAATGAGTCATAGTCACAGTTTCATCTTGTATATGTCCTTTTAGACTAAAAGTTCTTACACACTTTGGAAGAAATGCACCCCCTTATAAAAGCACTGAAGCCACAGATACTCATTGATCACATACTCCGTGTCCTGGAACATCAGTCTGTGATAAGCTCCATGATTGATCTCCCAAGGCTTACATTAAATGGGAGAAACATTGTCAGGCAACAAACAGTTATAAACATAAATAAGTATGACATATAAAATGACCTAATGGAGAGAACAAGGAACTTTGACAAAGAACACAGTGCTACCTGCTTACATGTGGTATCAAGGAAGAGCTCTGCAATGGAGCAAGTTCATCTGTTGAGTGGTATTGGGAGGTGAGACCTTTTGTTAGGTAACTCGTTCTTGAGGGTAGAGGCCTCATGAATGGCATTACTACCTTATGAAAAGGCCCCCCCTTGGATCTTTTGCTTTCTTTTCTCTGAAAGAGAATGCAATAAGAAGGCAGCAGTCTGCAACTTGGAAGATGGCCCTCATCAGAATTGGACCATGCTGGCATCCAGACATTGGACTTCCCATCCTCTAGAATTCTTAAAAGAATTCTGTTGTTTATAAGCAACCCAGTCCAGGGTATTTTGTTACACAGCTTGAACTGACTAAGACAAGCTCTGAGAGGATGATAATTGAGAAGAAACCTAACTATAAGAAGTAGCTAGTCATTTAAAGAGATTTATAATATAACAATAAATTATGTGAGGATCTACAGGTAAGGGATATCTTGGGATGCACCTTGGGAACTGAAATAAAATTCCTGTGACAACTGTGTAGAGCTGGAGAGACAGGCAGGGGCCAGACTTACAAGTTTCTCAGTCTAAGACAAAGCATTTAGATTTTTTTCTAAGTGCAATGGAAATCACTGGAGAGTTTTAATCTGGAAAATGTCATTATCTAGATTTCATTTTAAAAGATCACTCCATCAAATCACAGGTAGATTGGAGGGAGAAATAAAAACAACCATGAAGAGGTCAAAGATAAGAAATCATGGCACCTTAGTCTAAGCTATTGTCAAYAGAAAAGGAGATAAATGGATGGATTTAAAATATTTTTGAGAATAAAATCAATAAGACTAGCAAAGAACTCGAGGCAGAGAGTGCATGAGAGCAGGAATCAGTGAGAACCTACTTCTAGTTTTCCCAACTAGAAGCTCATTTTCTGAGTTGCAAAAAAAAAAAAAAATAGGGAAAAAATGGTTTTATGGTGAATATAGGTTTGATGCATTATATCTGAGATGATTGTGATACATTCAATGGACATGTCAAATGAACTCCAGAAGATGTAGACTGGAAATATAAAGTCCGTTGTTATTAACTCTCCTAATAAGAGCAGACAAAGATAAGAACATAGATGAATCCCAGAAGGATTTGTCGAGGTCAGGGGTATGAGCAAAGAAAGATTTTAGGAAGGCTGATCCAATGAAGAGGAAAATTAGGAAAGAGCGATGTGGGAAGTCAAGAGAGGAGAGCATTTCAAGAAGAACCAAATATTGATATTTTGAATACTTTTTTAGAGACTGAATAAGAACAGAAAAGTAATGAGTTTGGCATCAGGGAGATCATTGGCAACATTGAGAAAAGCAATTTCAGCAAGTACATAGAGAAGAAATGAGATCAGAACAGGTTAAAATGACTAGAAGATGACATACTAAAAATAATTTTTATGGATGATACTTTCTGGAAGCTTGGCAGTGAATAGCAAACAGAATCAGAGCAGCAGGAGAGACACAGTCGGYAGTTAAGGAACACTCTTGTTTATTTGTTTGTTTTTTAAGATGAAAACTATTAGAGCATGCTTTTGCTGATGGAAACAGTCTAGRCCTGGTGAGGGGTGGGGTAGTTGAAAACACAGGAAAGGAAAGAATACCAAGTCCTTGATAAGAAGATGGGGGAAGAGATCCAAGATCTTATGAAGGGTCTACAAAAGAGGAGCAACAATTTAAAAATTTTAAAAATTTTAAAAACTTGGATTAGAAAAATCATACATACAATTAAAATTATCTACTACCCAACTAGCCATTCTGTAAAGAGAAAAATTGAGGGACAGGGAGTAAAAGGTAGTTATATACATGTTGTATTCTTTATAACAAAATTCTGAGCTTTCAATTTTCCTAAATAAAACAACTACTTCATTTGAGCTATCACTGAGCCGTCTTCTGGCCAATACTGTAGTACATCACAGTGGGCACCGAGGACACCCACAATGCTATCATTTTTCTCACACTTCCCTCATCCATTGCTGCCATATTGGACAGACACTAAATGGGGAAGGCAACTGATAGAAGAACTATTTTTCCTCTCTCCATAACTTCCAAATCCAATCTTTTCCCATATTTTCTTTTAATCCCCTTGCATTCATCAATAACACTGAGATTACTCTTTTTCACAGTGTCTTTTTTTAAAAAACAGGCTTTCATATTTTATGCAGGCTGACGTCAAACTCTTGGACCCATGGGATTGTCCTGYCTCAGCCTCCCAAGTAGCTGGGACTATAGTCATGMACAATCTCTTCTCTTTTTATTAACTGTTTTTAAAATTTGTGATTTTCTTTGTGCTCAGACATCTTCTATTCCTTTTCTACACATCAATCTGTCATCATAGCTTTTATTATTATCTACATATGCCAATRACTCATAAACCTTACCTCCTGCCCATTCTTCTTTCTAACTTCCAACTCATATATTGTTGTTGAATATCTCCAATTGAGGGCCATCTCAAACATGATAGTTCTGTAATTAAATTCATCACCTCCCCTCTATTTCCAAATCACTCCTTTTCAATATTAATCAGTTTTTCAAGGTAGAGGTCTGGTTTATTCAGTCTCCYCACCCCCACTCCCAACTCATGTCCAAAATCCAATCAATAACCATATTCTGTCAATTTGTTTAATTCAGTCTAATGTCTACCACCAACATTACTCTTGGTTCAGGTCACCTCTCTTATTCACAAAATAGAATTAAAATCAATCARCAGACAGATAGCATCTATTTCTTTCTTGCTTTTTCAACTGTGATGCCCCCSACTCTCTGGCTCAAATCAGTCTGACCGTGGTTTCCCGACTCTTTCTTGCCTCTATGGCTAGAAGAGCTTCTTWAATTTCTTAAGTTGTTTCTATGCCTTCAATACTACTCCAGGACTGTGTGGTATTCCCTCCACAYAGCAGTCAGGTATAATATATTCAGCTTAAACAGTCAATGTCCTCCAAACTCCCCTCATGACAAAACACTCCGAGTACAACCTGGCTCCCAGGAATCTGCATGGTCTAGCTCTTGCCTGCCTCACAGGCCACATATCTTACTCGGCTCCCTCAATACAGTTTGTATGCTGCTGTGTTTTCTGTCTAGAAGACTCTCACTCACCTCCTAACCACCCCCTGCACACCTTTTGAAGTTAGATAACTCCTGCACATGTCACTTTAGTGCCCACCTCTTCCAGGAAACCACTTATTTAACCCCTTTCCAGTCTCTCCCATTCATGACTACACAGAGCTGGTATAAGGAGTACACTAGCTGGGAAGGTTTCCAAGGGCTAAATCTATAAGTGGAACTAAAATTCATATCACTGGGAACCTAAATGAAGTAAAGAAAATATGCTAGCTAAAATTCTTATTTAGCAGACTTTCTTTGAGGAGAGTACCACATGAGATGGTAGTGTTTGGGACACAATGGGTAACATCTGGTATGCTAAGCAACATTCTAAGAAGGATGGTTTCTGTTAATGGTAGGCTGTAGGTTTGCTGAATGGGGAGTGCAATTTTGACTTATTTATTTGACTTAACAGATGAAAACACTGTGATTTAGAGAGAGATGCCAAAGGTCAACTATATTGAGACTGGCTTTGAAAGCAGATAGTCCAATTCCAATTCCAGCATTCACGTGATGTTATGGTTTAGATATGAGGTGTCCTCCAAAAACTCATGTATGAGACAATGCAAGAACATTCGAAAGTGAAATGACTGGATTCTGAAAGCCTTAACCCAATCAATGAATTAATCCCCTGACTGGAATAATCAGTGGTAATTACAGGCAGGTAGAATGTGGCTGGAGGAGGGGGGTTTCTAGGGGCATGCCTTTGGGGTATATATTTAGTGACCTGATATTAGAGTCTCTCTCTCTCTCTCTCTCTCTCTCTCTCTCTCTCTCTCTCTCTCTCTCTCCCTCTCCCTCTCCCTCTCCCTCTCCCTCTCCCTCTCTTTCCCAAGCTACCATGATATTCTGCCTCACCTCAAGTCCTGAGGAATGAATAGGGCCAGCTATGTGGACTGAGACCTTTGAAATAAACTTTTCCTCCTTGCTATTGTTCTTGTCAGGTCTTTTAGTTACAGTAGCAAAAAATGTTGGCTAAAACACATGAATAACCATTAACTATACTGCCCCCTGAATAGCTTAATGCCCCGCACTCAAAATTAACAAAATAGAATTAAAATCAATCAACAGACAATAGCATCTATTTCTTTCTTGCCTCTTCAACTGTGATGCCCCCCACTCTCTGGTTCAAATCAGTATGACCGTGGTTTCCCAACATATCTAAAGTGCAGTGTCCAAATGTTGAAGAGACTTATGAGATTTTATTGACTGTATATATTAGTGGATTAATAAATAACTGATTTAGAATACTTAGAGAGGGAATTTATTTTTCGATCCCAGGTGAATATCTAGGAGTCCAGTGATTCCAAGGTGGGATCTGAAATGGAGCCTCAAATTACTTCACTTCTTGCCAGTCATGGTGGTGCCTCCTTGGACTCAAGAAGCTAAGGCAGGAGGATCCAGAGTTCAAAGCCAGCCTCAGCAATTTAGCAAGGCCCTAAGCAACTTGGCAAGACCCTGTCTCCAAATAAAACATAAAATGGGCTGGAAATGTGGCTCAGTATTTAAGCACCCCTGGGTTCAATCCCTGGTACAAAAAAAAAMCCAATTACTCACTTCTCTTGGTGATCTTGAGCCTCCTTCTCGAAACGTTGGCTTACATCTGAAATTAATCTGTCATTTAAAAAGAAAAGCATTTACATTAGGGATAGCATCAGACTAAATTKAATTACCTAAAACCATCCAACAATGACAGATACTGAGGCTACAGAAAAAAAAGTAAAGAATAAGGAAGAAAGTTTACTGCTATTCTCAGTGCTTTGAAATCATCACATTAGATAATCTACAGACACATCAACTGATTCACTATCTCCACATTCCATCACTAATGAAATCACAGCATCTTTCAACAATAAGGCTCTCAAACAGAAAATCAGAAATAGATAAGAAAAGAGTCGGAGGAAAACTACAGAGAAGTTAAACCACCCAGCTGGGTTTTAAAATTTAAAAGTAGAAAATATAAACTTGAGAAATTGAAAATGTTGTAAGGATTATTCCAACAATGGAAAAAGTATTCTTTATAGAAGGATTCAGCAGCCCCTTACTTTAAGTGGGGAGGTCTCCTACATGGTACACTTACGTCATCTTCAACTACAGTAGGATGTGAAAGTGTAAGAATGAAGGAGATGAATAAGTGGAGTTGSGATGGGAAAGAACATACTAAGATCAAACGTCAGTGGTCATTGCCACACCATCTAGGTCACCAGCAATTGTAGTATGTCAGTGAAATTAAGTGAATGCTGCGTAGAACTAAAATATCTCAATGCATTTACACATGTCAGCTTGAAAACACAGATAATGCACAGAGAATCACACATGGAAATGGAGAGGGACTCTTGAAAGTAAGCAGCAGAAAATCACTATTGGGTCCTTTCCTTTCTCCCAAATGTCAAATAAATGCACTATGAAGAATTTTCTTCTTTGGAGATAACACACCCTCGGGCTGCCACTTCCAAACACACCCTCGGGCTGCCACTTCCAGCCCCCGCCACACATTTACCCTGCACGAGCAAAAGCACTGACCAAGAAGCCCAGAGAAAAGACTGAGCGCTGGCTCCAGAGAACATTATTCATCCTAAGAGGTAACATAAAATTATTGCAATTGACACTTAGCAAACAACACAGTGAATTACGCTTAAAACTCTTTTTACTACTAATATGTTAATTATGTTGGAATTCCTGTTTTTTTAAAGGGCATTTTTTCCAAAAAGTTGGAAATGGAAACTGACACCCAGTCTTTGAAGACCAAACACCTACAATAAAGGAGGCGGCAGCAGGTGGCGCTCTCTTACCTTTTCTAGCTGCTCGATGCAGGCGGTGTGGACCACGATTTTACAGACTGCACACTTCCTCCTGAGAGCCGATTTCTACAACATTCAATTCAAAATACAGGAAAGAAACGTTAACAGTCTGTGTGAAGACTTCCCTGGAATAAGGACTGTATATGCACACAAATGAAACACTGCCATTCTTTCATAGCAAGTGAATTTGAAACTTCATCAAAATATTAAACATCAGGACMAACTTAATGGTCTTGTCTCACCAAGTAGTTCCACAGTGGCCTGGCCGGTCTCTCCCAAGTATAATAATGTCCCAATGTCATATGGAGCATATGATATGAATTGGGCACTTTATTCCATTACACTACTTCTAAGTTTGAAACCTAGCAATGTAGGCATTATTTTATCTCTTTAAAAAAAATTGTCACATTTTCATTTGAGCAATTAATCTTTCTCACCTAGATTCTGATTTTCTGTTTGAGAGCCTTACTTAGTTCTGCATTCAAATCAAGCATTCATTTCCTACTGCCAGAAAGTCTATATTTCAAGGGGTCAATCACCTTAGGCTTCAGTTCCAGGTATAAATCTATACTAAGCTACTTGGATTTCTGCTCTTACCTTCAGGAGAGAGAACACAGTTCTAGTTTTTATACCCAAGAAATAATAATAAGGATAGCAACCACAACAGCAAACTCAGCAAGGGCAGTTAATACAACACAGGACTTGCCTCATGCCCTTATCAGTATTCACAAATAGCAACTCCCTTAACCCCCACAACTCTGTGAAATAGGTACTATTCTTCCCAGGTTACAGATGAGAAGAGTGAGGCCTGGGAAGGGACCTGCCCAAGGTCACCTAATTAAGGGGACAGCAGAGTCAGACTGTCTGACTCCTAAGCATTACTCAATTTGGCCTCTCTGACAATTGGTAGTGTTTAGATTCACAATAAAAAGCTTTTTAAGGCTTATCTTTTCTCTAATAATAAAGAGCTGTGGGCAGAGATGAACAGGGGCTCTACATTTCGTCACTACCAGGGTCCTGTAGCATTTAAGGTGGGAACGCTGAGATCTCTGCAAGGACAKCTGAGTCCGTACTTTTGAGTTTGCGAACTAGAAGAAACTTCTTACAAACAACCGATCTGCCAACAGTCCATCAAAGCCACCAAGTGTGAAAGGCGGTCCCTTTCCTTTTAGAAGGCACCAGAATAGACTATGAGCAACTCCCCCAACGCCCCGTCTGATGAGTGGCTGCCTCTGCTGGGGTGTCATATTGGAGGCGACTTTGGCAGTGGGGTAGGAAGGAGCCCAATCCTGGTGCTGCCCAAGGAGACTGGAGGGACTGCAGATAGCCACCTTGGAAGGGGCAGCAAAAGGAAAGAAACTGCCCCCTCCTGGTTCCTTGATGGTTCCAGTTATTCAACATGGGGGCRTGGGGGTGGGCTCCTGTTGGTACCAGTGATGACAGTGTTATCAGCTCAGCTATCAAAGAAACAACTAAAACACTGTTTTACCACAACCAYGAAAACTCTGGAATGTATTCACTGACTGAAGTTCATTGATCCTGTTGGTGGATGCTTTGATCACTCTTTCCTGTTCCTAAAGAGAGAACCTGGTCTTCAATGTTGAATGAATTTGACAGTCAATTGATTCTACAAGTAACAAAGGATAAGGGAAACTAAAACAACTAGTAACACTACTGAAAACTGTCTTGCTCTACTCCTAAACACAGCAGAAGAGAAGCAGGAGGAGAAGGTGGGGGGAAGAGGGAGAGGAGGAGGAAGAGGAGGATGCACACTACAAGAGAAWGCGAAGCAGTCGTCACAGCAGTAACAAAAGCAGCAGCARCAGCAACAACAGTAATAAAATTTGACCTTGTAAATTTTCATGAGAGGAATGGCCGCAGACAAGTGCCTGGGCTCTCCTGTTTCCTGCGCATATCCTGGTAGGATTTGCTTTAGTGCCACCTGCAGAAAACCCTTGGGGCATTTAAGTCCCACTAACAGAGTTACAGAGATGCCAGGGAAACTGGAGTTGGTTCTAGGCAGCTTCTTGCCATCCACAACACCCCTAGATAACACTGCACACAAGCAAAGCAGGCCACTGCAGGTGAGCTACCCCCTAGGTGCTATGATTTAAGGTGTCTGAAAAGCCTCCTTTCTAGTCCATACCCCCAACCTGGGTCTAGCTGTGTGCCTGATATCAAGCTCTGCATTAAGCTCTTTGGAGTTCCAGGGCTTCTGGAGGCGTCTTAGGAGTCATTGAGGAGGATGGGAAAAGAAATACAGTGGGCTCAGGAAGCCTGTGAACTCAATAAACCCAGAACACCTCTTCCTTTCTTTGTTTTCCACATCAGGATTCTGGGTCAAAATCCCTATTAGATAAGGGATCTGGGATACTGGAGTTTAAGAGCCAGTGCCTCAAGATATGCCATCACTCAGCTTTCTGGGATGACATGTAAATACGCTAACGTCATTCATCGTGAACAATTCAARAGCGACTATCTATGGCTGACAACATAGGAAATAAAGTGCTGTATGTGATAAAACTAATTTTAATTAAATAATATTGAATTCTGAAAGACCCTCTTAAAATATATCACATGCTTCTGCCTCCTGAGGCAGCAAATATTGACCGTAATCTGAATTCTTCTTCAAAGTCCAGTCATTTTTCTTTCCTCTCCTACCATCTGACAAAAGACCCTTTCAAATCATTGTTCCTGTCTTTGTTGCCCAGGATTTCCTAAATGACAGCTACTAGGCAGCTTGTGATCTGAAAATCAGATAATTAAATTTTATAAACATATACAAAATTAAGTGAATAAATTCTGAGTGAAGGCCCAAGATTTTTTCCCATACTAGTAAAGAACATGGATTATAGTTCCTCAACTGACAACAATTGCTTCAATGGATCCAAAGGCAACTGCTGACTTTTGGTTTTGACTATGTTTCAATTGGCTAAGGCTATCTGAAGTGGCTAGATAATAAGCTTTTGAGCAGAACTTGCTCCAAACATGTAGAATGTTGTGCTTGGTGATGTTACAATTTTTGTTTTGAAAATTTTATCTAAATACGGGCAATACAACATGAAGCCTACTCTATTCTAAATACTTTCACTAATTCCCTTTTTTCCTAAATAACTCTTACTTAAGCCAGCTCGTCCTTCACTATGAAAGGTGATGAATTAAACCAAGTMATTAACAAATCATCCAATAGGTTATTCTTCCTATTGGGACACAGTTGTTACAGAACCTAGCACAAAAACATAATTGAAAACAGAAACATTATCCGGGACACTAAGTCCATGTTCAAAAATTAAAATTGTAAAAATGTATTAATTTGTTCTCATCCRTGAATTTAAAGGTCATTTGGGCTTTCTACTTTAAATTTCAAATAGAGTAACCTCAGTGCCCTTAATAAGGGTTTCCTGATTTGATCAGTGTTGGTATTCAAAATAAACCCATTAATCTGTGTGTGTGTGTGYGCATGTGTGTATGCTTTTATAGCATATTTGTAGAAACTAAGAATAGATCACATCCCATCTGTTATGGTTTGGATATGAGGTGTCTCTCAAAAGCCTCTGTGTTAATACAGAAAGGTTAAGAGGTAAAGTGATTGGATTGCGAAAGCTGTAACCTAATCTGTCCATCCTAGTTTGAATGGACTGTTGACTAGGTGTTAACTGTGGGTTGGTAGGTGTGGCTGGAGGGGGTGGATGGGGGGGGTATGCCCTGAAAAGCTTGTTCTTCCGGGTGCCCTTTCCTTTCCTCTCTGTCTCTGCTTTCTGGCTGTCATGAATTGAGTCATTTTCCTCCAACATGCCCTTCTGCCATGATGTTCTGCCTCATCTTGGGCTTAGCGCCACATCTTGGCCAGCCATGGATTAAACCTCTGGAAACATAAGCCAACATAAACTTCTCCTCCTCTAAGTTGTTCTTGTAGGCTATTTCGGTCACAGCGATGAAAACTATCACATCTCACTTTTATCTACTAAAATCAGGATGGGCCTTTACTTAAATAATTACATGAAAGGGGCTGGGAGATAGCTCGGTGACAGAGCCCTTGCCCAGTGGTGCCTAGCCCCCCAGCAATCCCTGAAATAACCATAATAACAAGATGGTATGCTATGTTTGAGCCTGGCAGGCCTGGTCTAGCGGCCGTACCGTGGCTAGAAGAGGAAACACACTTAAAGTTCTGGCTTGGCCCTTTATCGTTTTCCATACTACAGGAACGGCTGGGCTTCCAAGCAGGGGCAGCTCCTCACCAAACTGCTGCTCCTATCAAGCAAGGAAGCAAAATTGCCACAGCTTTAGAGCCCTGGAGCTGGGGGTATCAGTTCCAAGGACAGAAAGATGAAAGGCAATCAGTGGCCACAGGACAGGGTTTCATATCTCTCCCAACCACAACCTCTGGCTATAGGACAGCGATCTTTAATTCCCTGGAGCAAGAGAGATGATTTCTGCTAAGTTATCATGAATTTCTGGTGGAAGTAGAATCTGATAGAGGGAAAAAGGAAGGTGAGGAAAGGAGAAAGGGAAGGAGGAGAAAAAGGAGGGGGGAAATAAAAAATGGAAAGAAAGGAGAGGAAGGAAGAGAAACGGGAGGAGAGGGGGGAACGGCAGGATGGGTTGAGAGGGACGGGAAGGACATGAAGACTTCAGGACGGTGGTAAGTTGCTTTCAAAGGTCTGTGGTTATGAAAGGATCCTGCCTTCTTGCATCCCAGGGTAACTGGAAYTCAATGTTTATTGGCCCCAACAGTGTGCTGTTTGACCCCAAGGAGCAGGTAAGACAAGGCTAGCTAGTCCCTTCCCAACAAGGTACACACCAAACCTTTCCTCTCCTTAAACAGAGGGCAGATTATCTTACCTGCTGACCACATATCTCCTGCTGTAGCCTGAAGAACACCCCTCACCCAACCACCRGGTTTAACCACCAGAAATCAGGAGTCTTTGTGGCCACCCATGGATTTCCCTGGCTCAGGAGGGTGCAGAGGCCAGAACCCGCTCCTGCCTCCCAAAATACCAGGGTGAAGTTTGGACTCACAGCTTATCCCTTTAGACAGAGACACCAGAGTGAAGCCCCCAGACCTA